TATTTGAGAGGTTAGTATTGAAACAATTGACGTTATTATAATAAAATAAAGAAACGGAAGAAAAAGAAAAAAGAAAGAAAAGAAAAGAAAAAAAAAAAGAAGAAGAAGAAGAAAAAAGAACCATCAAGAACGAGAAATAACATTTATCTTATTTATTCCTATATTTATAGCTGGCTATTACACGATCGAACAGAGTTCCGCGAAATATCTGATCGTCTTCCTCAACACGAATCTTTGGATGAATCTATCGGAAAATCGTATGGCGCATCGAACCAGCGGTATCACCGTCGATAATTCACAGGATCCATTTGGTCAATGGCTATGGTTCGAATCCGTTTTGAAAAAGGCACGAAAAGAGGATAAAGCGGTAAGGTCTTAAATAAGTTTATCAATTATTTAAACGTGTTATCGAGTTTGTCGGTTTCTCTGCCAGACGAACGTACCATTAACTTAAACTAATTACAAGACCAACATAGTCGCTAAGTATCTATCGTACAGTTACGTGTATTAAGGGAAGAAGTTCGATAATTAAAAGGATCAAGTGATCGCCAGGGTATTAACCGGAGACGTAGAATTCGTTTGAAAGCTTTAGGTAACGTTAATACCTAGGTGGTTATGTACCGAGACGACACGCTCGCAAATGAGATTCCGTTGATCGCCCGTCAAAATCCTGACAGGACATGATTTATCGACGAACCATACAAAGTCCATCCTTAGCTCTGTTATACCAGACGATCACTATCGAGAACGATGGAGATCTCACTTTCCCTTTCATGATTTACGCCTAATCGTTCCTTGGATCAAGACTCCTCACCCTTCATTCCTCATCCCACTTGTCCATTACTATATTCACTCGTTGTTACTTCGTTTCTTTCTCTTCCTTACACTTTGAAGGATTACTTCAATCACGATATCGATAATCGGACAATTTTTACGATCAATCTAACTACCATTGATGGATCAGATAATATCAGGAGAGTCAATTTTTCTTACGAAATTCTTAAGTTTGACGTGAAATCTAAAAATGAAGAAGAAGGAACTATTATATGTTAGGAGTTAACTGGTAACAATTTTTCTTAAGAGAAATTCTTAAGAAAGAAAACGATTCGGTTAGTTGTATACCAACGTTAGAAGAAGAACAGGATGGAGGACGGGGACGCAAAGGGACAAATATCGCGGCTCAAACTTATCGGTTATCGATTATGCCCTAAGGCGCATTGAACGAGGATGACATACGCGAGGAGGAGCTTACTTGGGCTTTTCCTACGCGAGTATACGATGCAACCCCAGCTATCGATAAATTATGGAAGGACTTCGTATTCTATGGACGACGAGCTACCAACTCTCATATACATACATACGTCGTTGCACGCCTATGCCATTGATCCCGATCGGTATTAACCACCATATCGATATATAGCATTCTATATATATATATATATATATATATATATATATATATATATATGATACACCATAGCCACCATATCTGACACATAAGTACACACGAGCGTAAGCAGTCCTGGCATTTCGTAGCACGCTCCAATAGCTATGGATCGTACATTTCCCACGATGGTATTGTCACCTCTATAGGATACCAAAGGGATTCTATTCTATTCTATTCTCTCTCTCTCTCTCTCTCTCTCTCTCTCTCTATCTATCTATCTATCTCTATCTCTCTCTTTCTTACGGCGTTCTTACGAGATCTCAGATCTTTGTTAGAGGCTTATGGCATTCTTCAAAATCTATAAATGTTCTCTCAGTAAAATAGACTCCGGAGTTAGCTATTTCATTTCGTGATATATCTTCGAGACACGGGATTATACATATAAATATACTACAATGAAAGGGGAAAGAATTTTTCATTCGTTCCTAAAGTTCAAGGCTGACGTAATCCTTTAAACATCAAGATAACTCTAAGAGATACGTTTAAACGAGTTTTCGAAATTTCTTTAAGAGTTATTTTTCGGCGAAGTTTAATAAAATAAAAGTTCCATATGGGTTGTCGAGAAAGGTACGGGATAAAAGTTTATGAAAGAGGGAAAAAGGAAAAATATATCGAAGGTTATATCTACGACGTTCCATCCGACCCTTGTTTGTTCTACGTCGAAACTCATTCCTGAGTTAAGCTTTGATCGATTTTCGTTTGCGGGCCAATGAAATTAATGTGATGATTGGGGAAAACACGAGAAAATATTTCACGTCTATTAAAACGTATGAATATCTATGACGTTATATGAGACACTCGTTATCGATATTAAAATAAAATGAGAATATTCCAAACTTTAATCGCTTTTAATATATATATATAACCAATGAAATAATTAATGAGATTACAGGAAGGAGAGATTTGGGTGAATGCAAAAAAAAAAAAAAAAAAAAAGAAAAAAAAAAATTTGTCATCGTTATCTCTATAACATTTTCGATATTTTTTGTTCTTTTACGATTATAAAAGGAGAAGGAGGAGGAAGAAGAAGAAACAACGACAACAAAAAAAAAATAAAAAAAAAAAGAAAAGAAAAATATTAAAAGAAAAAAAGAAAGAAGAAGGAGAAAGAAGTTAGGAAACTAGCAATGACATTTTTTCGAAAATCTTTTTAAACGATCAGACATATAATACATCCGATTTAACGATCGATAGGGATATAATCCGTAGATTGTAATAATCCATAAGCAGTTTCGGTTTCCTTGATCCGACGAACCACCAAACTCGAAAACCGAGGACAGAGCTAGGAAACGGTATGGCAACGACGAGAGAATCGATCGATTCTCGACAGGCCGATAATACGATTACAAATTACGGGCCGTTTAAGCGCGTCAGCGGCAAAACTGACCAATCAGCGTCCCTATTGTAGTCTCGTCGGATTCGTTTCTATCCAAGTGAATGGTACTATGTGAATCTTGCACCTTTTACCTACTTTTCCCATTGTTATTTTCAAATAGAAATACGTCATTTATTTCTCTATTTTTCTCTTTCTCTCTCTCTCTCTCTCTCTCTCTCTTACACACACACACACACATACACACACATTGAAACTTTTTCATCGATTATTATCTAACATTAGATTATTCCTTAATAAATAAAGAACAATCAACGATATATAATAATATTATTTTGATTAAAAAATCAAATAAATATCATATAACTTTATTATCATACTTCCTTATCAATTCTATTATCGTCTTATAATTAGGAATTGATTTCATTAATCGAAAATCCTTTAATCAAGCGTAACATAACATACGTAAGTGTACTATCTGTATGATAAAGATATAGCTTCAAAACTCGATGAAAGGCGATACACGAGCATAGTTGTCTAGTACATCTGTTGTCCTAAACGTTGAGTCCGCGTGTATATATCAAGTTGAGAATATCGTAGGAAAGCTCATCGACCGAATGTAAGCATCGAGAACAACGCGCCGTGGTCTCTAGTTTCCTCTTGTTTGTTCGGTACTCGGATTTCGGTATACTCGGATTAGTATACCGAACTTCATATAATGGATTAATGCCTGGAAGAGATTAAATACTTTATCATAGAAATATAAAATATATCTATGCGATATAAATTACTTTAAATATTTTCAAATGATCTTTATTCAATCTCATATAAACAATAGAAACATTTTAACTTTTATTCTATTTTAGAAACTCAAGATCAAATAATAATGGTTAATGAAATATATATATATATGTACATTATATATATATATATATATATATATATATATATATATATATATACGTATATACTTACTCCTCGAAATATCCGATAAGTTAAGCAAATAGGAAGTTATTATCGATCTAATTACTTCCTCCATTCGAAGTACTTCCTCCATCTTTTCTCATTTCTCCTACCTCTTCTTATCAAATCTTCCTCTCTCTCTCTCTCTCTCTCTCTCTCTCTTTCTCTCTCATTCTTATTCTCTTCTAAAATGGCGTTCGCCGTAAAACGATCCTAAAACGAACGAAGAAAAGAAGTTAGTCTCCCTTCCGACGTTCCATCCCATCAACATTAGTAACTTTTCTTTCCTCCCTTTGTCTACTGTCCGATTCCGTTCCCATTTTTGCTCATTCCCAAGTTCTCGAGATCGTTCTTTTACTGGAAATGCTATCTCGATGACGGCAGACGGCTTTGGGATCAAGCCTGTGGAATGATATCATCGTAGAACTAGAAGAAGAGAGGATAGAGGAGGGAAAGAGAAAGAGAAAGAGAAAAAGAAAGAGAGAGAAAGAGAGAGAGAGAGAAGGCTAATTTCACGAACGTGCTCGATCGACCGTCTCTACCATGTATGTATGTATCTATGTAGAGAGGTATACTTCCTTCCTTCCTTCCTTCCTTCCTTCCTTCCTTCCTTCCTTTCTTTCTTCCTTCCTTCCTTTCACTTGATCTGTATGCAGGATCCAACGTGAATCCCTATAAGAAAACGATATAGATACGCGGTATATGATCATGCGTGACTTTATACGCAGAGATGCATTTCATGAATACGATTATCCATAACGTCGAGTTTAAATTTCTTTTACGTTTATCCCCTACGTAATTTTCTACAGTTTACAGTTGAATCTCCGTTTTCAGAAAACGACCTTTACACGAACGTAAACACGAGAGAGAGAGAGAGAGAGAGAGAGAAAGAGAGAGAGAGAGAGAGAGAGAAAGAGAAAGAGATAGATAGATACGATAGGAACGACGACACAAACGAGACTAACATTGCCAACCTACATACATAAATATATATATATGTATTTACTTGAACGTAAATAGAATTATTTAACCTTGATATCTTTTTGAAAGTTTAAAGAATCGAGGATAAATTGAATAAATCGTATAATATTATAGATCATTTTTTGTTTCTTTTTTTTTTCTTTCTTCTCTTTTTTGTTTTGTTTTTTTTCTTTTTTTTTTATTTTCTCCTTTTCAAAAGAGTATCGCGTATTAAATAAAATACGTAAGTATATATATTTAATTATTTTAATTTTATTTGCTAAACGCTATCTTCTCTTTCTTAATTTCTCCCAAAAGAAAAAAAAAAAGAGAGAGAGAGAGAGAGAGAGAGAGAGAAGATTTTTCTCTCTCCAAAGAAGCTTAGAAAATATTTGTAGGTTTGTTTGTTGGAACCTTCAAAGAGAATATACGCAAACCATTTATGGTTAGTAATGAGAAACTTTCCACCCTTCCCCCCCCCCACCCTTGAGGCTAACTCACACGTGTCTCATACGTGACTCGCATCAAGGGTGTATTTAGTTAACGTGTATACTCACGTGACAAAGTTGACGTGGTAAGGTTCTAAAAAAAAAAAAAAATATGTGACATTACTTTCTGGTGTGTGGAGCAGGTGTTCATCGTCGGTCACACACCACCAGGAGTTGATGATCGTGAGAGCGGTACCGCAACCCTGAACGAGAGGCACAACGCCAAGTACCTTCAGGTGGTACGTCAAAATGCGGACATCATACGCGGACAGTTCTTCGGGCACTGGCACTCTGACACGTTTCGTGTCATCTACAGTGACACTGGTATGCGCGCTTTCAGATAAAAAAAAAAAAAAAAAAGAAAAAAAAATGGGGGAAAAGCAAAAAAGAAAAGAAAAAATAAAAAGAAAAAAGAAAGAAAGAAAGAAAGAAAGAAAGAAAGAAAATGAGGACATGGCTCTCTTTCTTTTCAATTCGTTCTCACGCCACGAAATCTCTGAATGGCTCATTAGCAACGTAGAAAATTTATCGTGATTAATTTCACAATTCATTTTATACGATGAAAATTCTTCGTATACTCGAAAGAATATATACATATATATATATATATATATTCTCGTTGCTTTATCTTGATAGAAAAAAAAAAAGAAAAAAAAAAAAATTGATTAGCTTAGGAATAATTTTTTGTTTGTGATATATCTTTAATTTTTTTTCTCTCTCTTTTCGTTTTTTTTCTGTTTATTTTTTTTTTTATTATTATTATTGTTATTATTATTATTATTATTATTATTATTATTATTATTATTATTATTATTATTACTTTACGAATGTATTACGTATCGATAGGAAATCCAGTCTCCTGGATAATGATAGCGCCTAGTATATCACCGAGTACACCAGGAGGGGGACCGAACAATCCCGGATTTAGGCTGTACAAATTTGAAACTGATACAGGACAAGTAAGTAATAAATTTCAGGATGAACGGAGTCTTCTTAAATCAAGGAATCAATGGCGATTATCGGGATATATTCTTTCCTGTTCGCAGGTTTTGGATTATTATCAGTATTATCTTAATCTAGCGGAGGCAAATAAGCAAGGCTCGGCAGATTGGAAGATGGAGTATTCGCTCTTAGAATATTACGAAATGAATGAGATAACAGCGATCAGCCTGCATGATCTCGCCGATCGATTTACGCAATCCAGCGACTACGCTTTCGTAAGGTACGTAATTAATGAACTTTTTCGTTTTTTTTTTCTTTTTTCTTTTTTTAAATGCCATCAGATAAAATTGAAAGTTGGTTAACTTTTTTAACATCTTTAAAACGTCGACGAAAGTAAATGAATTGAGGATTTCGATAAAAATATCTCTGTGATTGAATTTTATTTTTTTCTTCTTCCTTTTTTTTTCTCCTTTTTCTTCTTCTTCTTCTTCTTCTTCTTCTTCTCTCTTCTTCTCGACTAATCCCACACGGGATTCTCACGTCGATCAATAATGAAATTAATCAAATTTGAAAATCGTGGCTCCGTAACGCGTATAGATATCTCTCAATTATACCTAATAACTTTTCATATAATGTAGAAGAAGAAGAAAAAAACAAAACAAAAAAAAAAAAAAACTAAACAAAAGAAAAACGAAAAAAAAAAGAAAAAGAAAAATAAAAAGAAACGTTTATATTAATTGTACTCAAACACCTTCCGTTTTCGTCGTACATATAATACTAACAGCTGGCATTAATTAGTTCCCTCGAAATCATTAAAATCTAATGTGCCAGTCAAAGTGAGAGGAATAGAGGGAGAAAGAGGATAGGGGTGAAAGAGAAAGAGAGAAAGAGAGAAAGAGAGAGAGAGAGAAAGAGAGAGAGAGAGAACAGGAAGTTTCGAGTCTCGAGCTAGCACGATATTACAATTTGACGGTTGCGTGAGATATTTCGTATCACGGTGAATCGGTCTACTATTAATAATTCCCATACTTCTCTACGCAATTATCCGCGATAATAATTTCAGGCAAGTAGAGCAGATAGCTGTCTGCCCTTTTCGAGGCAATCGCGCCATTACGATGCTAATGGTCGTCCCGATACGGTCGATCGAGACCACCACACATTTCATTTATTTTATCAATATACATTTTGTATCTGTATATGCATACATACATACATGCATACATGCATACATGCATACATACATAGATACATGCATACATACTTATGTGTATACGTATATATGAACCGACGAAAAATTAAAGCGAATTCTTAAACGAGATAATATCTTCCGACAAAAAGATAAATACGTAACGAATAATAAAAAAAAAAAAAAAAAGAAAAAAAGGAAAAAAAAGAGAGAAGAAAAAAAAAATGAAGCAGAACTCGTGCCGGGTTGGCCCGACGATCCGTCAAAAGTACAGGGAACATTTGATATTCTAGTACAGTACTTTAAACGAACGTGACAAACATTTTTATCGATGTTCATTTCGACCAATGCCGGATATACTATCGTATTTACTCTTTCTATGAGACTCGAAATAACGATCACTATAGTTACACCATATTAGATACAATTTTATTTCGAATGGATGTAATAGTGTTATTAGAATAATTAATTATGACAAAAGTCTCTCGTGTGAGTTAAAGTGAATCGATAAATAATTAAAGAAAAAAAAAAAAGAAAAAAAGAAAAGAGAAAAAACACGGTTTCTAAACCAGACGGATAGAAGCAGAAGAATAGAGAGAGAGAGAGAGAGAGAGAGAGAGAGAGAGAGAGAGAGAGAGGAAGAAGTTGTGGAACTTTGGAAACAAACTTGCGACGAGCAAGAGCTGTAATAAGTCCCCGAGAGAGCAGCTTTCAAGAAGTCAAATATTATTGGAAAGCGTACTTTTGTCAATCGAACGTACGACGAACGGAATGGAAACATGAATTTCTACGGAATCGATGGTATTAAATAAACTAAACGTCGAGAGAATGAAATACTCTTTAGGAAAAGAAAAATATATATATATATATATATATATATGTAACAAAATTGTTTTATATTACAAATAAATATATAAAAAATAATTCGAAATAGTTATAAACCTGTTTGACAAACTACATAGAATGATTCGTGAAAGGAATAGAAATTTTTAATATCTGTCAAAAATACGTAGCATGACGTAGCTCCAACGACGTATCAAAATGTCCAATCTGTTATGATTGATAAGCCGATCAAAATCTCTCGACGTTATATATTAACGAATCATGCTATGTTTCATGATTGTATTAATCTTGCAAGCACCCTTGCAAGTACTTTCTCATTATGCGCAGATATTACGCAGCTAATACGGTATCACTGCCACGGGAAGTGGAGAAGATTTGGGGTTGCGGTGGTCCTTTGAATGGGGTCTGTGCTTTGCATCATTATTGCACGGTCACCCGACTCAGCGTGCAATTGTTCAAGGAATGTTGCGCCTCTTATGCATATCCATTGGCATCAAGAGCAAGATCGCAGACGTCGTATCGCAGCCTGTCTATCGTCCATATCATGCTAATCATCCTTTTGCACTTCGTAAATCTATTGCAAAACCGGTAGGATGCGGAAACGAAAAGCTCTCAAAGAGCGGCTACGATCGAAGCTGTCACCTCGAACCGCCGCTTTACACGAACATTTACTAAGACACTTAAACCATACACACGCAGAGATACAAATACAGCTACGTTTCTTCTTTAGTCATCGTGTCGTCCCGAGAATCAGGGTCGAAGCGCCCGCACTCTCTTCGTCGAGATAAGTAAATCCTCGTTCTAGGATAGCCGACTATAATGGCGACTATATACGTATCTCGACGTAAAGAACGTCGCAAGCGCGATCTCCTTTGTCTCCTTCCTTCCTTCCTTCCTTCCTTCCTTCTCTCTCTCTCTCTCTCTCTCTCTCTCTCTCTCTCTCTCTATCTATCTCTCTCTCTTTATCTTTCTCTATCTTTCTCTCTTTCTTATCCTCATACTCCTTTTTTCCCCCCCAACCACCCCTCGAACGACATCTTTATTCTTTTTTCGTAGATCCTACATGTGGGTTACTCCTTACGATAGTCACATCGTATTCGATGTTTTTAAGGATAAATGCGAATATCGTCGACTGGAATGATTGGAATCGTTGAAATTTTCCTACTCCCTTCTCCCTTCTCATTCAACCTATTCCTATTTCTCCTTCTATTCCTCTTTCTCATTCTCCTCTAACATCGAATCCTGTTCGTGCCATCGGCAAAACGAGATTTCCAATTCCATTTTCGCTCCCCGCAACATTATCTAAGCTATCACGATGTCGGACTAGAAATTTTCTCCCGTCGACGTGACGGCTGCTTTTCTAGAATTTTTTGCTCGAAAAATCCCTTATTCTCTTCTTCTTTATTTTTTCTTTTTTTTTTTCTTTTTTCTTTTTTCGTTCTTCCTCCTCCTCCTCCTTCTTCTTTTTCTATTTCTTTTCCTTCCTCTTTTTCCTTATCCTTTCTTTCGCGTTACGTTTTATATATAAACCAACATCATCCAACGTTCCTCGGATGGTTAGGACGTTGATCGAATGGAACGTTTTTCGAAACGCGAATGACGGATGGTTCTATTGGATCTGGTGCGTTCGTTTTATCATTGCCCTATTGTTTGCCAAAGTCAATGTTGTTGTTCCTTAAAAAGGGGAAGGGGAAGGGGTGCGGCTTTGAGCGAAGTCGACGACTCGGGAAAGTGACAACGTCGGAGTGCATAGCTTAAAGAGCCATTATATTCGTACCACCATTTTGCGATTGTCGAAACGATGCAGTATTTCTTAATAAACGATTCATGGATTTGTA